TTTAAATTCCACGGGTGGGAGGACCTCACGAAGGTGTTTGTTATTCGGCAAGCTCTCAAAGGGTATCGGAGGGGCCGGAGGGCGCCGGATGCTAGGCGCCCGGTCTCGGTTCGGGTACTTGGGAACTTACTCCGGGTGCTGCCCGGAATCTGCTTCGACGGGTTTGAGGTAGCCCTGTTCAGGGCAGCTTTTCTCTTGGCCTTCTTCGGGGCATTCCGGATAGGGGAATTGGTGAGCGCTACTCGGTCAGGGTCGGGGGGTCTGCAGGTATCCGGTGTTCGCATGCTAGCTGGGAACTTGGTAGTATACCTGGCTACGTCCAAAACGGACGTCATGGGTAAGGGCCGGGACGTGACGTTGGGTCCCCTGCCCGGGTCTTCACTGTGCCCGGTTGCGGCAGTGGCTCGGTTCTTGGAGTTGAGACCGGCAGTTGGGGGGTCTTTATTGGTTCATGTCGATGGCTCCTCGCTCTCTCGTTTTCAATTTTCTAAGGTGTTCCGATCGGGCCTGGGGGCGTTGGGGTTGAGTGCTGCTGCCTATGGGACTCATTCCTTTCGCATAGGGGCGGCCACTGAGGCCGCACGCCTGGGCATGGGGGACGAGTTAGTCAAGAGGATCGGGAGATGGGAATCCGCTCGGTTCCGCACGTATGTGCGCTTGGGTTTGTTGGATCAGTGATGCGGGCTGTATCGGACGGGGGGAGGGCCCCGGTCTGGGTGTAGGTGTTTTACGCTGTTTTCCTTCTTCCCCAGGTTATGTCGCGTGGATCGTGGGCCATTCCTTCATCGTCTGGGCCGGTCGGAGAGCTGCAGCTCGAGCACAGGGCCAACAGCTGGGCTTCCCAAAAGACCTCATAACAGTGCGATGGCTGGGTTTTAAGGGATTTGGCTGGGGCGACATGTGCGGGGTAATAATTCGGATGGTAGCAGGCGGGGCGAGGCCGGATATGCTAGTTCTACACGCAGGGGGCAATGATCTGGGCCTCATTCCGCAGCGTAGGTTGGTAAAATGGATGAAGCAGGACCTGAACAGGTTGTTCGATCTGCTTCCTGGGGTGATGCTGGTGTGGTCTGAGATCGTTCCGAGGCGTCGGTGGTGACACGCGAGGGATCCGGTAGCCATCGAAAGATGCAGGGGAAAGGTCAACAGCTTGATGGCAAGCTTCGTGAGGAAATTGGGGGGTGTGGTAGTGAGGCATGTAGAATTGGAAGGCGGGCTGCCAGGTTATTATCACACGGACGGCGTCCATCTCTCAGCGGTGGGTCTAGATTTGCTGAACTTGGGCTTGCAGGAGGGGATGCAGAGGGCTCTCTTTCTTCGGGGTGGCGGAGCTCGGTCGGCTTGAGGGGTCAAGGTCCGAGCTTGTGGCGGGATAGAGAGCTAGGGAAGGCAAAAATAGGCTCCCCATGAGGAACGTGAGGAACATGAAGAATTGTGGTCACTGCTGGATGGTGGGTTTCGAGTCCTGGAGGTGGCTCAGAACCTGGTGGGGTAGGGGTATCTGGGTATACCCCTACCGTGGTTACTTATGGTTGGCACTTAAGTCGGTTCATGTTGGACTGAGGTTAAAGCGTTATTTATATATATTCATGTGTTTCTTATGTTGGGTCATTGCCCTGATATTTAATAAATGTATAGATGCGAGGGCGGAGTATGGGGGCAATGACCCATGTTTTATATATATGTTAATTATTAGTATTGTTACTATGTTTGTTAATAAAGCTGTGGACTATTTTTCCCATATCCCTGTGTCAGCGTGTTATTGGGGATAAGTATGTGGGGTGGTTGTTGTCAAGGTTCCGACTGCCCATATGGCGACTATACACCAGTCATGTAGCCCCATGTAGCCAGAGCGCAGCTTAGCGGAAAAGGGCCTTGACAGGAGTTAGGAGGCAGGCATAGGAGGGACCAGTAGGTCTGTGGGATTATGGGATGGGGGCTGGCTATTTAATAGGCAGCCATTTTAAAATTGTGCACATTAATTTCTGCCTAGCGGTGTTTGTCCCACCCTCCCTCCCTGTAATAGGTTGTTTCTTTTTTATCCCGTTTTGTCACAGCGGCGGGATAGAGAGCTAGGGAAGGCAAAAATAGGCTCCCCATGAGAAACGTGAGGAACAGGAAGAATTGTGGTCACTGGTGGATGGTGGGTTTCGAGTCCTGGAGGTGGCTCAGAACCTGGTGGGGTAGGGGTATCTGGGTATACCCCTACCGTGGTTACTTATGGTTGGCACTTAAGTCGGTTCATGTTGGACTGAGGTTAAAGCGTTATTTATATATATTCATGTGTTTCTTATGTTGGGTCATTGCCCTGATATTTAATGAAGGTATAGATGCGAGGGCGGAGTATGGGGGCAATGACCCATGTTTTATATATATGTTAATTATTAGTATCGTTACTATGTTTGTTAATAAAGCTGTGGACTATTTATCTTTCTTATGATATGTTTGGTTCTGAAGAATTACACTGAAAAGAAATATGTACAGAATCATACATATCCCTGTTTGCCTCTACTCTCTGGATTAAACACGTTTAATGTTTCACTTAATTTGCCATTGGCATTATACATTTTATTTTAACACTGCTGGATTTTATTTGTTATTGGCCCTTCTGAAAATATTATAGCAATTTGTATTTT